TTAGGTTCAGGATGGAGGGGACCTGAAAGCTTGTCAGGCTGGTATTGATGGAGTGGTATAATGTTGTTGGTAGCTCACCCAAGAGTCTCATTGTGTCCATTTTTTGGGGGGGGTCTTCCTGGTAAACTTAGAGCCAGGCACAGGAGGAACGGAACAGCCGGGTAAGGGATTCTAACCTTTAAAGTGGCTGCTGCTGCCACCCGGCCCTGCTGCCTCAGCTCGCAGGATGTAGAGAGCCGGGAGCACTTAGCCAACCCCCGGTCTCTGTTCAAAAGCATCACGTGGGCCAGAGCAGCGTGTGCTTCGCTCCCAACCCAGCTCAGCGCCCCCCTGGCATGGTGCCTGGGGGCAAATGCCCCCTCCCCCCCGCTACCCTCTTCGCTACGCCTCTGTCTAGACTACAGGGTTTTTTTTAGAAAAAAGTGGCCTTTTTCAAAAAAAACTTCACCTGTGTCTGGACTGCTGCCACATTCTTTTGAAATTAAATCGAAAGAACACGGCAGTTTTTTCGACCTTGGAAAAATCTCATTTTACAAGAAATAACGTATTTTTTCAAAAGTGCTCTTTTGAAAAAAGGTGCTATTGAACACAAACAGGGCTTTTTCGAAAGAGAACATCCAGACTGCCTGGGTGCTCTCTTTCGAAAAAGTGGCTTGCTTTTTTGAAAGAAGTGGTTGCAGTCAAGATCTCTCTTTCGAAAGAGGCTTGTAGTTTAGACTTACCCTTACAGTTTATTTTTCAGATGAGCGGAACATGTAATTACCTGATCAAAGCAAGATCTATTAATATTCTGAATGTGTCAGCCGTTAGTCTGAGTGCAGGGCAAGGACACAAATGTGTACCCTTCTCTTTAGCCTTCCACTCATGAGAAAGGAGGGACAGCTAAATGTGCATGCACACTATGTTGATTGCCTCGCTGCACCCTCTGTAAAACAGAGAGCCAAATGAATTCGGTAGCATTTTGCTTGAGTATTAACAAAGTCAAAGATGAGAAGGAAATCAAGATCTGATTCAGAATATTTTTGTATCATGTAAAAAACAACATAACGCTTAAAACTGGATTTATTTTAAATGTTAAATGAGTCAATTCTGAACGTCTTCTGCTTGACTCAATCTGGACATGTGACAGTGAAGAGTTTATTTACCTTTAAAGTAACACTGCACTGTTCGGCTGGAGAAATCCCTTGAACTGGATGAACTCCCAGGCATGGCAAGACAAATCCAGGGTACCTAGAAATGAGAAATACATTAAAAATGGGAGAGATCATAAAGTATGCTTCATCACGGCTATTTTGAAGAACTAGAGACAAAAATTATTAACTAATAAATTAATCCAATAGTACATTGCTCGTCATCCCACAAACCAGCAATCTGCTTGAATGGCAGCACATCTTATTTCTAGAGCCAGAGAATGAAAGTCAGAATACCTAGCTTCTGTTCTTGCCTCTGACTTGACTAGCTTGGACACTGAATGAATCAGACACACACTTCCAAACGTCCCTTCTGATCTTTGGATGTCCAATGGGACCCATCTAGTGCCTAGTTTTCTAAGATGCTGGTCACTTGCAATTTACATTAATTTCAAGCAAGTTGTGGATGCAGAGCACCTCTGAAAATCAGACCATGAGTACTGGAGACACAAAAATTGAGGAACTGAAATCATGAGTCTCTTGGAAAATTTTAGCCTCAACAACTCTGTGTCAATTTTCCTACCTATGTAAAATAGGGGAAAATGACTCCTTTCCAAGGGTGTTATGAATTTAATTAAAGTTTATAAAAAGTTGGGATAAAAAAAGGATTCCTTGAGGATCCCCCTCCATGATTTTTCCAGAGACTGAGGTAAGGCTGACTGGTTTGTAGTTCCCTGGATTGTCCTCCTTCCCTTTTTTTTTTTAAAAAGATGGGCACTATATTTGCCTTCTTCCAATCATCTGGTATCTCTCCTGATCTCCACGAGTTTTCAATTATAATGGCCATAGGCTCTGCAATGACATTTGCCAACTCCCTCAGTACCCTCAGATGCATTAAATCTACCTACTGTAAAATAAAGACACCTGTTTTTCAAACAAAAACCCCCCCAAACCTCGATGAGGTCCACAATCTCCGCACTTGACCAAGCGGGAGCCCGCCTTTTGCGCCCCCGGGCAGGCTCCTGGGAGCCGCCAGGCTGGTCCTGGGGAGCAGTGGAGGGCTGGGTGTCATCGGGTGGCTGGCTCATGGTGTGGCAGGTGCAGGGTCTGCTGGCACGGGTGCTTGCAGCCTTGCAACTGGCACAAACAGTGTAGCCAGCCCGTGGCCCTTTAAGGGCTCCGGGGCCGGGAGGGGGGCAATAGAGTTTCCCTGGTGTTGGCCAGAGTGGCCACCAGGGAAACCTGGGAAGGGCTAGCCTCCCACTAGTTCGAAGTAAGGGTCTACACAGCCCTTAATTCGAACTAGCTAGTTCGAACTAGGCTTAATCCTCGTAAAATGAGGTTTACCTAGTTTGAACTAAGCGCTCCGTTAGTTCGAATTAAGTTCGAACTAACGGAGCGCTAGTGTAGCGCCTATGAAAGTTAGTTCGAACTAACTTTGTAGTGTAGACATACCCTCCGAGTCTACGATTCTATGATTTCCATCTCTGGAGACATTTAAGAGCAGGTTGGATAGACATCGATAACGGACGATTCAGACCAGGGGTGAGCATTAATTTTAGATGGGGAGGGGGCCACTTCACTAATTTTTGAAGTGACCCCAGGCCATCCTGGAAAGGACGGGGCTTTGGGTGGAAGGGGTGGGGCCAGGACACTTCCATGCTCCCCTGCCCACAGACCCTGATTGGCCTGGGGGTGAGGAAGCATCTGAAGTCTTTGCTCCAGCCCTTCTACCGCCTAGAGAGAACTTCCAGCTGTTCTGAACAGCTGGCATTTTCCTCTAGGCACCAGCGTCCCTGACAGCAGGAGGAGATTTTGCATGCTCCCCCCACGTCCAGGTCAATCCGGGCCTGGGAGCAGGTGGAGCATGGGAAGTTGTGACGGAGCGGGCCGCCTCCACCCCGTGGACACGGACCCCCCCCGCACTAAACCCGCAGTCGCCCTGACACTCTTGGGAACGACCCGAGGAGTGAGAGCGAATTGCCGCGCTTGCTCTGCCGCCGCCACCCAGATGACGTGCGGCGCGCAAAGAACATGGCCGGCAGAGGGGCGGGGACTGGGGGAAGGGGAGGAGCCAACCTGCGCGGCGACTGACGTCATCGCGTCGGGACGCCGAGGCGTGATCTTTAAAACCCCCGTTGGGCTGGGGACGGGGGGAAGGAGGGGCGGAGTGGAGAGAGACCAGAGGAGCGATATGAGGAGAGGAGGCAGGAACGGAGCGGGAGGAGGGAGTGATACGGGGGAAGCAGGGAGAAGCAAGAGGCACACAGAGGGCTGAGGCCAATACGGGGAAGTTGGGAATTACTGGGGAGCTAGGGTCGGGGAGAGAGGAAGTAGCCCAGGGCCGGGTAAAGCCCGGCGTGCTGGTGAGTTTCGGGCAGGCGCCCCACCAGCAGGGCAGATCTCCGTGCACCTGTCCTTAAGGCCCTGGGCTGGGATCCGGGAGAGAGGGTCCCCCTATATCCTCCCACTCCCCCCTTTTGTTGGCCATAATCAAGAGGCCACAACGAGGGACTAGAGAGAGAACAGGGAGAGGGACTAGACTCTCCTGTTACAGAAGTCTTTCACTCCCTGCCCCCACCTTGCAAGGGGTGCACAGCACTTAAAGTGGACTGGTCCCTTGTTAGTTCTGTGCACCCCTTGCAGGGCAGGGACAAGGAGTGAGAGACTTTGCATACTTCCCCCACCCCAAGGACCTGATTGACATGATCTGGCCTGCAGAAGCCTCTTTATCCACCCATGATCTAGAAAGTGCTGAGTCCTGCCGTGAGGGCAGAGGACTGGACTTGATGACCTCTCGAGCTCCCTTCCAGTTCTAGTGTTCTAGGAGTCTATGATGATGATGATGATGATGATTTATTTGCATTGCAGTAGCATTCAGTAGCTCCAATCACAGACCAAACCCTATTGTGCTAGGCACTGTTCAAACACAGAACCAGAAGACAGGAACATATAGTCTAAGTAAGGCCTTGCTGCATCCCACGAACAACCCTTCATCCTGCTCCCTCCTTTGAGTACTCCCCATGCACAGTAGCAACCCATGTATTCTTCTTCTCCTTTTCCAGTCCACAGAATATGCTTTTCTTGATGTTTTGACTCCCACAACACTAACCTTATCGAACTGCTCTGCATTTAAAAATAACTATTGTTTTAATCACATACAAAAAATACAAAGTAATTATACCTTTCTGAAAGCTGGATAATTTTTTCAAATTCCCCTGAGTGTTCAGTAACTGCCACAAGGGCCAAAACTTCAGCCTGAAACAACAAGAAATAAAATCGATACAGTACAGAGGTAGCTTCAAAGGTTGGTAGACCTTCCAGGCCCTTTCATAGTCTGTATTTAATAGATAAAATTTAAGTGCTGCACACAGGTACCAGCGGGACCCGAGCGAGGGCTTCTAGCACAGAACCCAATGGGAAACCAATGTTTTGGGTTGGGGAGCACAGCTGAACTTGCCCCACCCCAGCCTGGGGTGTCAGTGGGGAGGAGACCAACCACACCCCCTCTGGCCATATGGGGGCACCCATCCTGTCCTGGAGTTGTGTGAAAAGCAAACACTTTGCAACATAAGAAAAATTCTAGTATAGCTACCTACCTTCTTTGCTTCTTCCAATACATCCTCAATATCCTGAAAGAGAGTATAACATTTTACTGGAAAGCTGAATCAGACAAGGGAATACCACTCTTAAAATAAGTGTCTACTCTTGTTAAGGGCTCTGCAAACAGAGTGAGAGCTGAAGGACTAAGTGGATGAGTCATGGGGTGATGCCACAGGGCTGGAAGATACAGGTCTGTGGGATGCAAACCTTCCACTTGGGGCAAAAGCAGCCCTTGCAACCCAAGAAGCCGCTCACACGCACCCCAAAACAAGGTAAAGCATGGGGGGGGGAGCAAGGTGGCGGGGGTAAGCGAAGGGCAGGTGGGGGTGAAATGCAGAGGGGGAAGAGGGGAGCAGGAGCTAGGGCAGATGCGGGGGTAGCCAAGGGGCGAGACAGGGCCCAGTGGGCAGGATCCCAT